CAAATTGGTGGGCATCTGCAAACATTGTTGGCCACTAAGAATCAACCTATAAAGCTTTACGAGTAGTGATGTCCCCCACAAAATGTCCACTACAACTGTCCAAGTGGCAACCTTCCAATATAGTACGTACTTCAGTCTGAAAAATATAGCATCACAAAACTCCATCTTTACCTTTTATACCATCATAAATCTGAATGATTTGGAAAGCCTCTCATGTACCTAAATTAATTGGTTGACATCGTGGAATTTCAAGAGTCTCTGAAATAATGTTCTGCTTAATTCCAAAATCTTTCATAAAATTTGACACATTAGAACTTTCCAACTCCAGTTCCATAGCACTAACGTAATTAATATCCTGTCTATTCATTGAATATACAATCATATGATTAAAATCATCAATAATGTCTAGAGGAACTAAGTACTCTCTCGATCCCCTGCATCGGTATTTCATTCTAATGTGCTCAACAACTTGTCTTGTATCAGCATAAATTGGGTCAAATATACCAATTTCTTCCTCTGTAGACTCATCTTCACAATCTGACGTGAATTTTGAACTAGCCAATTGAGTTTCTCCGTGATATTAGATAGGATACATTTGAAGCACAATTTTATCATTACCTTTCCCAATTGTCAATGTACCATGGCTTTAGTCATTTTGAGCTTTAGCTTGATACAACTACAGTTGCCCCAATAAAATTAGATATGACAATATAGAGCTTCACAATCGAAAAATAATAAAATTAATTTTATAGGTAATCTCCGCAATTACTGTATCAATACTTCGTAAAATATCCATAGGTTTAATTTGACTAGAGTCAGCCATTCTCAAAACTACTGTAGTAGGCAATAAGTGATCAAAATCCAACTCCACTATTGTAGTGGCATTCATAAGATTTACATTAGATCCTCCGTCTACTTGCACTCTTGATAATAACACTCCATCAATTAAAACATCAATCATTGGTGCACCTGGATCGAAATTCAAACTTACTTCTCGGATTTCTTTATTTCGAGATTTGCGACAAATTAATGAGGAATTTAAGATAGTTTGGCACTCAAGTACTACTACCAATAGTTGCTTTATAGAGATCGTGGGCTATATGGTGCCCAAATCTTTTAGAATATCGTATGGTTTTGTATTAGTGGTAATTTCCAATGTCTGTTTCTTCTTCCCAGTCCTAGACACTAATGCAGGTAAATTGGTTTTCTCTATATTGAAAATTGGTAAAGCTATTGGAACTGAATTTGACGGAGCCTGTAAAGTCGATTCTTTCAATGAGTAAGATTGTTCTTTCAATTGGACTGATATTAATTCGTTGGAATACACGCCTTAGAGAGGATCTTTCAAAGAAAAGGACGTTTCCCGAAATTGTATAGAAAACGAAACAACTTGAAACAAAATCAAAGCCTCCATTATCGGTACCTCATTAGGATGCACAACCAATTGAGGTCTTATACTGAGTAAGGGACCCATGTCAGGATTTGAATTGGATGTCTTCGTAATTGGGTCCAATTGGCCCTTCACTTTAGGATCACCTAAATGTTGAATTGGTCTTTTCTCCTTTTGCTTACTTCTTGTAAGGACAGCTTGGACACATTCCACCCAATGAACTGGTGAATCTTGAGGACTTTAATTTATCTCCTCTATTGTTCTTTGGCTTTGGATCTACTGATCTGGATTATTGAAATTGAATGGAGCATTATATTGCTGATAAGTATATCCCGACTGCTTGCAATTCACACACATTGGCACATAATCGTCATTGGCTCTGGAATTGGGACATTCACTGGCATAATGATCAATCTGTTTGCAATGGAAACAACGAAGTGGTCTTCTTGCATCTCCATCTGGCATATTGGGTGTCTCCATCGGTATATTCTTACTAAGCTTGTTCTATGTAGGGTTAGAAAATGATCATGGTTGTCCCGTTGGTACACAAGATAATTGGTTCGATGACGTCAGTTAAGCATATTGCTGATACCTCTATTGTTCCTTCCCGTAATTCTGGGGGTTTGATGCAGACCTTTGATTAAAATTAGAACTTTAAAAGTTATTGAATATTTGATTTTATCGATTAGATCGATTTCCATTCCATCCATTCGTATTTTTTGTTTGAACTTGATTGACTTCCCATTGAGTTGGTGGAATCATAGTCTGATTACTGAATTGTTATTACCTTTGTAAATACCACCAATTTTGGATAGGGTGCTTTCCTTCACAAAATGTACATTGAACACTCGTTTGTCTAGGTGATAGACATTTAGTATCAAAATGACCTTGTTCCTTATAATTATTACACCATACATTAGGTCTCGTGATAGAAGGCTTATGTCGTTTCTCCTTGTCTTTAGCCAAATTCACGACCAATTCTTCTATCTGCTTTGTTAGATTTAATAACAAGGCTTCATTTGGATCTTTAACAGTCGCATTTGTGAGCAACTCTAGTTGTTGATAGGTTGGCAATGTATAATAAGGTGTCATTGTTATTGGCACTATTGCTTGGAGTGGTGTAGCATTAATTGATTTTTGCAACATAACATTCTTCATGTTGGATGTAGCCATTTGTGGATAATTATCCATGGACACATTTTTCGATTGTATTTGTTGGCTTCCTGAACTTGGAATCATCGTGGCCCCCATTGTTAACACTTGGTCATAATGGCATTCTTTCCACACCTTTGCTTGTGCCAACGATGCCTCTATCGTAGCTGGTCGAGCTTCTTTTACAAACATTTTCAATTCTTGTGGATGCAAACCATTGATCAATATCGACAATATAAATGCATCTGGCATTTGATTATTTTTCCATTTACAAAGTATATCCGCGACCCAGCTATAATAGGACTCCACTGATTCATTCGCTAACATCCTGCTATTCATAAAAATTTCTCTAAGCCAATCTTCAAATCCAATTGGTCCAATTGATTATCACTCATAATCTTTCATTCTTCTTTACAAAATCAATACTGCCTTGAATTATAACTCACATATTTGCAATCCTAAAATTGGTTCTTCTAACGTTCTCATTCAACATATAATTCCATCTCCCATATAATCAATTTCTAATATTTTATATTGTTATCATTTTTCCGGCAGCGGTGCCAAAATGTTGTTCTCGTTGTGTTCAAGCTTCAATATACCAAAGCAATTGAACTAATAGAGGTGGATTCAAACACAAGGAAAGACTGGTTATACAAATTGGATCTGTTAGTGTCACAATTGACTATACTCTAATTATCTGAAATCAATTATCAAACTACAAAACACCAAGGCTTACTACTTATGTCTTAATTCAACCCATAATCCATTCTATGACTATCAATTCAACAATACTTCCATATTCTTATCAGTTCATCTCCCACTTACTCTCTTTGTAGTTTATATATATTCTATTACTGATCTCCAGCTTACTTATTGTATTCAGTTTCTCAATTCATCACACAAAATTTAATATCTAGGCTTACGACTCTCACAGTCTGGCTCTCGGCTTATGACTCTCACACTCTGGCTCCGATCTCTCTTTCTTCAACCTCTTTATCCTACCAAAAAGATGATTCGTCAACTAGCAGATTCCAAAGGTTATGACCTTTTGAATTCTTAACCATTTTTCCACTAACAACCTACTGTTACCAACTAAATTGCCTAACCATCAGTCTAATTCTCAAGGTTATCAATAACCAACTAGTAACTTATCAAAAAGTTTATTTACCTATTCTACACTACCTTAAAAGACAACTTCTACTCTTTGGCTTTTAAACACATGTTCTTAGGATCCTTTGACATCTCACTAACCACAAGGGCATACTTTACCAAATCCTAAATATTTTTACTAAGTCTTCAGATATTCCTTATTTGATATTTTATCCTCTTGACTTTGACTCTTGGTCCTTGACCTTGTTCTATATCCATAAGATGCACTTTCCATATATCAAAAGTCAATCCTTTGATTATTAGCAATTTATCTAAAATAATATCTTTTACAAGATAATTTATTATACTTTCACTTTTACTTACTTATTTTAATACCTTTTTGGTTGAAAAGACACAAATTGAAAATACATGGAATTTAAATTTGCAAGAAAAAAAAATAAAAAAAAATAAAAACTAAAATAAAAACTAAAAATAATTAAAAGGGATGCAATTATCTAATTCTAAGGCATATATAAAGCCATTGGAATTGCTTTTAATAAATATATGCATTCATACAGTGTCAAAATTCAATTGACCACTTTATTTTATTTATTTATTTTATACAATATTTCTATGCTTACATCAGACGTATGTTACTTGCTGCCACCATGATAATTTTCAAATTTTCAAATCCATCCACGTTCGTGGTCCTGAGTCAACGTACGTACAAACAATTATTTATTCACTCACTCATTCATTCATGCATGAATTTTTCTGTGTGTTTTTTCTTTTCGTTTTTTATCAGTTTGCAATTGCTCATAGACCCATCTCCTGACATCCGTGGGGGGTGGGGCGGTGGATACAGTTAAGGAGGAAGGTGGCTTTGGCGCCCCCCACAAGCAGCCCCGAGCAGGCAGGCGTTGAATGAAGTGATGAGAAAGGAATTTCGGAAACGCGCGTCTCACCGTTTAAGCCAGCCCGACTAAGCTGCTGCGAGCTTTCTTCAGACATTGTTGCAATGAAGGAAAGCGATGCACGATCCGCAACTTGAGCCGTGACCGACACACACTTGAAGGAAGAGACAGCGATCGATCGATCGAGCAGCAGCAGCGCAGCGAGGAGATGTTAGAGCACCGCACTCGTTGACACCGACGGGGACGGCAACACGGTGGATGGCTGGATGGCTCACCCTCCCCTGCTGCCGAAGTGTCCACAGGATCTATGTCGCTCTCTCCCTCTTTCCTAAAAGTTCCTCTTACTCACCCGCCTTGTTATTGTTCTCATACCTACCTCCAGTCGTTTTTGAACCGCTACGCGTTTCCCACCCCCCCCCCCCCCCCCCCGATACATATATGGTCGATCCCACGGCCATGCTGCATTCAGCTTCACGAAGACCTTTACTACAGACGCATCCGTAAAGTAGACGTAGCTGTTGAATCGATAATATTCACTGGGTAGGCGTTGTTTGAGCTCAAGTTCGGGAAAGGATCCGGTGAGTCAGTCGAAGATGGCAGGACGTAATGCAGTTAACTCGCACGAGACATCCGCAGTGAGGGAGGGTCGACGTTATTTCCCCCAGCTGCACAGTCACGAAAGGGATGCATTTGGGTCCGAGCCCTCGACTTCAGAGAGCTCTAGAAGTTGGAGGAGGATTACTCTAGTCCTGAATGCCACCCGAAGATTTCGAAGATTTCCTTTGCAGAAGAGGGCAAGAACCCGCTTCAGAGTATGCGCACATATCATTTGCGCCATTGGACGCCTTCAAAGGGGGCTTCACAACAAGGTACGCCCCTCAGGAGTGGCACCAGATGGTTATGAAGTGCCGGCTACTGATCTCACGCAATTGCTTCAGGATCGGCAAGTGGAGGGTCTGGAGAGGTTGGGTGGAGTGGAAGGGCTGGCCCAGAAATTGCATACAGACATGGAATATGGATTAGATGAATCGGAGGAGCAGCTGCACAAGAGGCAAGACGCTTATGGCGCCAACACATACCCGAAAAAGGAGACCAAAAGATTCTGGTCGTATGTGTGGGATGCCTGCAAGGACACCACTCTCAATATTCTTATGGCATGCGCAGTTGTGTCACTTGCCACGGGTATATGGACTGAAGGCATCAAGGAGGGATGGTATGAGGGGACCAGCATTGGAGTAGCCGTGCTTCTTGTGATTTTTGTCACGGCTATAAGCGATTACAAGCAGGGCTTGAATTTTCAAAACTTGAATGCCGAGAAGGAGAACATAAAATTGGAGGTTCTCCGAGCAGGACGGAGACAGACTGTATCCATTTTCGACCTCGTCGTGGGCGACATTGTTCCATTGGCCATCGGAGGCCAGGTCCCGGCCGACGGTGTTCTCGTAGAGGGGCATTCTCTGTCTATCGATGAGTCCACCATGACGGGAGAGAGTTTCCCAGTGAAGAAGGACAAGAGCAGGCCGTTTCTCTTGTCGGGATGCAAAGTACAGGATGGACAAGGCACCATGTTAGTGACAGGAGTCGGACTCAACACTGAGTGGGGGCAAGTTATGGCCTCCATCAGCGAGGATAATGGCGAACTCACTCCTCTGCAGGTTCGCTTGAATGGAGCTGCCACCTTAATTGGCAAGGTGGGGCTTCTAGTCGCTTCTGTTGTGCTGGTCATATTGATCATCCGGTACTTCGCCATCGACTACAAGAAAGCTACCGCTAGAGAGAGAAGAGTTGCTCAGGTTATCAAAGATATGGTACACATTTTCTCTATTGCCGTGACAATTGTGGTGGTGGCTGTGCCCGAGGGGTTGCCCTTGGCGGTCACGCTTACATTGGCCTACTCCATGCGCAAGATGATGGCGGACAAGTCATTAGTTCGTGTTCTCGCTGCTTGTGAAACCATGGGATCAGCTACCACCATCTGTAGTGATAAGACAGGTACGCTCACTACCAACAAGATGACCGTCACTCGAGTGTGTGTGGGCGGAGAGATGAGAGGTGACGACACATTGGGCTCCGAATCTCTACACACCAACTTGCGACAATTGCTTGTGCATTCGATATGTCTCAATAGCAATGGCAATGTCTCTCCGCCTAAGCCCGGAGAGGAATCTTCTGTGACGGGAAGCCCCACAGAAGCAGCTCTCTTGATTTGGGGAGTCAAAATGGGCATGAACTTCAGAGACATCAAGCACAAGAACCAGATTTTGCATGTGGAAACGTTTAATTCAGAGAAAAAGCGCGCGGGCGTTGTGTTTAAGACTGGCGATGGGGACGTGGAGCTTCACTGGAAAGGAGCCGCTGAAATTATTCTGGACTTGTGCACCCATTGGATCGATGCGCATGGCGAATGCCATCTCATGACTGACAACAAGCTCAAGGAATTCAGTGCTGTGATAGAGGGGATGGCGGCGCAGGCATTGCGGTGCATCGCCTTTGCATATCGATCCATTGAGGAAGCGGAAATTCCGCAGAGCGAAGAGGCCCGGTCGGAATGGAAGGCTCCCGACAAAGGGCTCAAGCTCATGGCCGTGGCTGGTATCAAGGATCCTTGCAGACCTGGAGTGCGTGAAGCGGTCGAACGGTGCCAAAGAGCTGGCGTCAAGGTTCGCATGGTGACTGGTGACAATATCTACACCGCAAAAGCCATCGCCGCGGAATGTGGAATTTTGGTGGAGGGTGGGCTGGTAGTGGAGGGCAGGGATTTCCGCAATTGGGGTGACGAGAGGCTGGCCAGCACGGACTTGGATAACCTGGTGGTGATGGCAAGGTCGTCCCCCTTGGACAAGCTCAAGCTGGTGAAAGCACTAAAAGAGAGGAGAGGAGATGTGGTAGCTGTGACTGGAGACGGAACAAACGATGCCCCAGCGCTGAAGGAAGCTGATATCGGGTTGTCAATGGGGATTGCGGGTACGGAGGTGGCCAAGGAGAGTTCTGACATTATTATTCTGGACGATAACTTCACCTCGGTGGTGAAGGTAGTGCGGTGGGGTCGATCGGTGTACGCTAACATCCAGAAGTTCATCCAGTTCCAGCTGACGGTGAATGTGGTGGCGCTCACCATTAACTTCGTGGCTGCTGTGAGTTCAGGGCACGTGCCTTTGACGGCAGTGCAACTATTGTGGGTGAATCTCATCATGGACACCATGGGCGCTCTCGCCCTTGCGACGGAGGCTCCCACAGATGATCTTATGGACAGGACCCCCATCGGACGCAAGGAGCCGCTCATCACTAATACCATGTGGCGGAACATCTTCGGCCAAGCCTTATATCAGATCGTTGTTCTGCTCATTCTTACATACCGCGGGATTGAGATCCTTGGGCTGAAAGGAACAGAGGATGAGATGGTCCTGGAGAGGAACACCATTATCTTCAATGCCTTCGTGTTCTGCCAGATCTTCAATGAGATTAACGCCCGGCGGCCGGAATCGTTCAATGTGTTCCAAGGCATTCACAAGAACTTTCTCTTTGTGGGAATCATTGCGGTGACCATCTTCTTCCAGGCCATCATCGTCACATTCTTGAATAACTTCGCAGATACGACCATGCTCACCATCAAGTGGTGGGCATTGTGTGTGGCCATTGGATCAGTGGCGCTGCCCTTGGCGGTGCTCAACAAGTGCTTGCCGGTGCCGAAGACCCCCATTCTGGAGATTTCATGCTTTCCGAGCACTCAATGCTTGGGATTGAAGCGTCGATCCAAAGGAGCCCAGCACATCAGAGAAGGTGAAAATGAATTCTCATCCAAGAGGGATGGAGACTGAGAAGTTCAAGCGGAGACGATCACAATATGAACTTCAATCCTGGTAGCAACGAATGATGATGATGCTGATGATTGAGTCGATGCTCTATAAGAACTCTAGAGTCTCCACTCTCTAATCAAGAAGTTTATCAAGTCAACCCCACTGTGTGATGTTTCCATTTTCAGTAGGGTGTCTGGCATCCTTGATGTCTCGGAGGTTGGAGTTTCTCACGCGCTGTAGAAGTGCCCTGGTGCCTGCATTTGAGCCTTCCCGAGGTTGCCGATCTCCGAGGTGACTGTGGGCTGTTGCGGCTGCGCCTGCACGCTGGAAAAGCTAGAGAATAAGCCCCTAGAAGCCGAGCTAGCGTGTGGAGGAGCGAGAAGGGGGGATATTATTCAATGCTAAGTGGATCCGTGAATAGGCCGATATTGAGGTTCACCACTGCACACAGCACAAGGAAAGCGAAACACATCACACGTGGTCATGCTGAAGAACAGGCAGTGCAGCACCTTGAGGAATGTGGTCCTGGTGAAGGGCAGTGCTGATGCACCCACAGCACACAGTGGTACACTCTCCAATTCCTCAGCTCTCGCCTCCTCTTTGCTCAGGACAGCAAGTAATTTCTGTAGACCACTACTCAATAAATTCAAGAATAACTTAGTTTTTTATATATTATTGGTGATGTCAATATATTTGTTGTATTTACTTTTGTATTTATTTTTTCTAAACAAACCTCATCATTAGCAAAAAAATTCTAAATATAATGATGTCTAATATTTATATATCTATGAAGTAGATTTCTAGCTAAAAGATATTGAAGAAATACAACAAGCAAGACATAAGTAGATAGAAATCAACAAGATTGCATACAAAAGAAGTGTGGAATGAAATACCTCCCACTTCCAACATCCTTTACTTATAGGTAGAGTTTCATTTATTATGGTTGAACTTCATCTTCATCCATCTTTGTTTCATCCAGTGAAATCCTAGCCACCACTTAATCTAGCCGCCACTTAAAATCTTAGTTGCTATCTTAGTTATTTTCCTTCATTTTTTTGTTGCTTTTTGACCATTAATAATTTACTTAAGATAATACTTACTTATTTTACCATACCTATAGTAATACTTATTTATTTTAATACTCCTACTTTGTTATTAGTCAAAAGCTATTAATCCTAGTGTCTTTGTTAACTTTTGATGCCTATCCTTCACTAATGTTTTTTTTATCAAATTAGGAAGCATGTCTTCCGTTGCATAATACTTCATGTCAATTACTCCCATTTCAATCTTCTTTCTTATGAAGTGATGTTGAATATTAATGTGTTTAATTCTTGAGTGATGCTTTAGATTCTTTGCAAAAATAAGACATTTTTTTTATCACTTTTCATTGGAGTTGCTTCCATTTGCATGAGTCCAATTTCTTTTAAAAGTTGTCTGTCTCAAATTCCCTTCATTGCACAGTGACTTGCTGCCATATATTCTACTTCTATTGTGGACCTTGTAATTATTGGTTGTCTATTGCAATTCCATGAGATTGCTCCCACTTCTACAAAGAATATATATCCTCTTGTTGATCTTCTATCATTTGCATCTCCAACCCAATCCGCATCATAATAACCATATAATGCAACATTACTCTTTCCAAGACACAATTTGAAGTTTAAAGTGCCTTTTAACTATCTCATGGTTCTTTTTATGCTTGTCCAATGGATTGGTCCAACCTTTGATACGTATTGACTCACAACACTCACCATATATGCAAGATCCATCCTTGTGCCAACTATTGCATACATGCATGAGCCAACTACTGCTTTGTATGGAACACCTTTCATTTCATCTTCAACCTTAGTAAATTCTTCATTTGTGAGCTTCATCAACTTTAAGTTGACTTTCAAAGGTATTCTAATGGACTTACAATCCTCTATGTTGAATCATTTCAATACTTCTTCAATGTACTTGTTTTAGCTCATTGTAATGGTCTTGTTACCATAATCTCTTACAAATTCCACTCCTAAATAATAGTAGAATTCTTCCAAGTCACTCATCTCATACTCTTCTTCTAACTTTGTCTTAAACCAATCCATTTTTTTCATGGTGATACTTAATTTGATCAAATCATCAACATAGGCGATGACAATCAATATGAATTTATTTGATTTCATTACATACAAAGAATGATCAGCTTCATTTCTTACAAATCTCTCATTTAAAAATAATGTATCAAAACGTTGATATCATTTTTTTGATGATTGTTTTAATCTATATAAGGATTTCTTCAACTTACAAATAAGGTGTTGTTTGCCATCTTCAACAAATCCTTAAAGTTGATCTATGTAAATGTCTTCTTCCAACTTTTTATTTAAGAAAGCCATCGTCATGATGTAAAATGGCTAATAGGTGAAAAGGTGAAGAAAATATCATATTATTGAAGTTCTTATTTCAAATATATTGTAACAAATTATCTTATAAAAATAGATAATAGTCAAGGAGTAGAGAAATTAAAGGTGCTAATATTACCTTTTTTCAAAATATGCTCCTATTCTCTTTGTAGGACCACAAATAAAGCAAAATAAGGTAGATTAGAAAAATAAACAATATAAGCATCTTTGAAAAGAAATTAAGAGTAGTTTTCAGTAAAAATTATCTAAAAAAATTAGATATTGATACCTAGAGAGCCGGTTATGAACTAGAGTTGAAATCAAACCTCAAGACACAAAACCAAGCTCTAATAATGATTCTGAGATTCTTTGGTAGATTGGAGAGAAGGATTAGAGAACAAACTTGATAGGATTTTGATGAAAATTAGTTTTGGGCGATTTGGATTTGTATTAACTTTGTAAGAGCTTTACAAAGTTAGATTTATTTTGGGTGACTCTAGATTTGTGAAATAAAGTAGGTGATATATTTTGGAGAATTTTGTAAGTCTGACAATAGAGCTATAGATGAAATTTTGAGAGTTTGTGGGTTTATATATGTTCAATATATATTGTGAGTTTGAGCTAGATCAAAGGATTGGATTGAGGATAATTGAGGTTTAAATGGATCAAAATCTTGGAAAGTAGCGTTTTAGGTTTAATGAAGGTTTTTTAGATTTCTTGCAATCTATTAATTAGATTGGAGTGAAAATTATGTATGTAGGTAGTAGGCTTATTTTCTTAGGTACATGAGAAATTTAAAATCAATTAAACAATTTAATAAGGAGATATTGACACTAGAAATTGAACATTTAGATTAAAGAAGGAAGCTAGTCAACATCTCAAAAAATATTAGGGTTGATCTGCTTTTTGATGAGTTTGATCTTCTTCAAAAATTTTGCGCTTGTTGTCAACTAAATTTTTAAGAGGTATGCAAAATTTGAGTTAAAATCAATAGTTCATTTATTAGTTATTGAGGTTTAAATCTGCTATAGGAATTACTAGGATTTGGCTAGGATTTGTTAAGGATTTGACTAGGATTTGACTAAGGTTTATTTAGGATTAGACTAAGATTTTTTTAGGATTTTTTTAGAGCTTGATTAGGATTTGTTTAGGATTTGTTAAGGATTTTGTTAGGATTTATTTAGAATTTGACTAGGATATATATAGGATTTTTTTAGGATTTGGTTAGGATTTAGTTAGAATTTATTTAAGATTTATTTAGGATTTGATTAGGATTTGATTAGGATTTATTTAGGATTTGACTAGGATTTGTTTCGGATTTGATTAGGATTTGATTAGGATTTGTTAGAATTTGACTAGGATTTGACTAGAATTTGATTAAGTTTTGATTAAGATTTAATTATGATTTTTATTTTAATATTTTATTAAGATTTTTATTTTAGTATATTTTTGATTTTCTATATTATTTTTTTACGATTTCTTTAAAGGATTTTTAGGAATACTTTGTGTTTCTTACATAATTGCTTTGAAATTTTGATTGAATTTTATTGATTTTTTATTACATTTGCTAATCTTTAATTGTAATTTGTTTAAGAATCTATTAGAGTTGTTCGGACTTGTTGTTGTAATTTTTCCTTTATCTTCTTTAATCAAGTATTTGATGCATTTTTAAGCCAAATGCCATGTATTAAGACATTGTCTTCACATCCATTTGATGCATCTCCAAGTCCTTTGCTGTCCCAATTACCATAATAGTTTTAATGGTGATGAATTTAGCCATGGGAGCAAATGTCTCATTGAAATCAATACCAATAACTTGTGAATAACCTTTGATAATTAATCTTACTTTATATCTTACAACATTATCCATTGCATTCCTTTTGGTTCTAAACACCCACTTACAACTAATTGAAGATTGATTTGAAGTAAATTGAGTCAATTTCCATGTTTTATTGTCGATGAGTGATTTGTATTCATCTTCCATGGCCTTCTCCCACTTCATTGCATCTATATACTTCATTGCATCACACAAATTCAATGGATCAACAAGAAGTGCAACATTGGCATAATCTTCACTTATTTGAGGAAAGATGTGGTTCTTCCACCATTCACTAAGTTGTTTTCTATCTCTCAAAAGATATCTCCTTTTATTTGAAAAAAATTAATCTTGTTGTACTCCATGATTCTTTCTAAGCTTCTTCTTTCTTAAACCTTGTCTTTTCTTACTCAAAAGCTAATTCTCCTTATCATCATCATTATCATCTTCAACATCTTAAACATCTTCATTGTTGGTCCTAGAAATTATAGAGGCCTCTTTCTTCATCTTCTTTTTCCCTTCATCTTCATTCACACCATTTTTATTGTCATCATCATCTTCTTCTTTCTTTGTTGAAATTGAAGATGTGTCTACAAACACACTATTACTTCCACTTGGACACATCTCTAAGTACTCACAAACACTCTTATATTCCAAAAAAATTACATCACGACTTTTGATGATCTTCTTCATATTCAAAACCATTTACCTTGGTACCTTCACAACATCCAACAAACACACATTTTGTATCTTTTACATCAAATTTGGACCTCATACAATCTTGTACCTTTGTACAAGTAATACATCTAAAAGTCTTCATGTGTGAAACATAAGATTTCATCCCACTCCAAACTTCTTCAGAATTTTTTGATATAAGTGCAATTGTAGGACACTTATTCCTTATATACACTATTGTTACCATGGCTTCTATTCAATACTCAAATCCAAGATTTTGTACATGTAGCATACTCTTTGTCATCTCCACAATCATGTGATTTTTTCTTTCAGCAACTCCATTTTGTTGTGAAGTGTATGGAGTAGAGGTTTGTCTTACAATGCCTTGAATCTTCAAAAATTTATCAAAATGCTTTAACATGTATTCACTTCTATTTTCCGTGATAAGTAGAATGCTGAATCTTCACTTTGAGACTTTTTTTCTTTCCTCTTAGTCACTTCATACATAAGTCTTATTGTGACATAGTCTGTGATTGTTATTTTACTTATTCTACAAATTCTTTCAGAATAAATATGTATAGGAGAATTTGAACATAGGAAAAGATTAAGTGCATGAGTTTTACTTATTAGGGTCACACAATTAACTATATTCCGAACTTCTAAAATACTAAGAAACACTACGATGCTTTCTCCCAGTAACAATATTCCTTCATCAACTGATATCAACAGTGTGCAACCGTGCACTCTCAAAAGACCGCTTAAAATACAATAATTTCCATCCAACACTATGAATAACAGATTTCACTCCAACAACCTGAATTCACATAATTTTTGAAAACACAGACTTCCTCTGTCCAAATACACAGAGCTCCCAATAAACAACAATCATAATCTTCTAATAACTCCTCATATAATTCAATCACTCAGTACTTTAATTACATAATCAATAATTCATAAATCAATCTCAGATTTATTCTACAAACTCACTTCTCAGTATTCAAAAACTATCCATTACTCTTCAACAACAAAGGAAACAAAACAAAAAAAACAAAGAGACAAAGAAGTAAAGAGGTAGTACCAAGCTTACCCTGGCTCATGACTATCATAGTCTGGCACTCATACTAACTTCTACAACTCGTATATAATTCCTCTTAA